TCCGTCAACCCTTGCCATTTCCCTTATTTGTAATGAGGCATTATTTTATCTAATGTATAATCCATTATAGCAACGCTACTGGATAACCAACTAAAATTCTTTCACAACCCAGAAAAATGGCATTAAATAAGGTTTTATATTAATAATCTATGTTTGATATCTAACTCAATCAATTCGAAAAGTACCACCTAAAGCAAAGTCAACCTTGAAATCAGGGTCATTTTTTATGCACAGCTTTGAATGTTCGTATTGTTGTCACCATAATGAGGCAAGCAGCGCGTGAAACCATAAGTTCCCGTTATCTCAGTGAAAAGGACAGAAACATAATTACACGAGCACACAAGCTGAGATTTTCCGTATCACATCTTGCCCAATGCTTTAACATTAACAAAAGCACAACTGACAGAATAATCCATGGGAAAACAACAAACAGAACAGCTTGTGGGGTTTGTTAACCGAGTACATCCAAACAGTAGGACGACCTGATTCGTGTTACTCTCCAACGGGAAGATCTCACCCGCCATTCATACTCCCTTCTGCAGAATTGAATGAAAACATTTAACATGCGTCAGGTTTCAGCTGAAGTCAAGCCAGCATTGAACACGCAGCAAAGGTAGGCGCGCATTGATTTTGCCCAAGAATTCAAATCTCGACGTTCGCCATTTCACCGATCGATTTATTTCGCCGACGAGTGCATGGTGTGCGACGAGCCTGGGAAGGCTCACACAAAAGTCATTTTTATAGAATTTCATGAAAAAGAATCGTCTGGAAAAGTTATCGTTTTTCAGAATAACGCTCCGTGTCATGTTTCACGAGAGATTAGTAAATTGATTTAGTTAGGTAGTCTGGTTCACTTCAGACTTCAGAAAAGATGCGTGACTCTAAAGTACAGTTCATGCAATTCCTCCTAATTCCCGGATCTCAAAGTGATTGAAAATCTGTTTTCTGTTTTGAAGAGATAGGTCAATTTGCTACCTATGCATTGAACCTTGGAGGCAAAATTGTGATACGTAATGGAGCACAACAGAGAAAATGACTTCATAACAAAATTGGTGGGTTTGACACCGAAGAGGCTCAAAAAAGTTCTAAAGAACAAAAACAGACTAATCGACCACTAGTGTACACAAACTTTACATCTTGCTTATTATCAATGTTAAATTGTTGTTAATAAAAACTGTTCCATTCTCTTTAGTTACCTCTTAACTCATCATGGTCTAGATCAACCACTACTGACGAAATGGGAGTATCCGCTACATTTTGAACCATTCCATCTGGTGAGTATAAACGATTCAGGAAAATCACGGATTTAAGGACTCTCCAAGACTTGTTTATTATTAGTTTTGAAAAAAATTGCTTCAGTATAAATTCTTTTACCCATACGAACCGACAAGCGTTTCACAGGGACCTGTTGCTTCAGTTTCGGTTAGACCTGTAATATCATATCTGGCAAATTGTACAAAATACTAACAATTCTTTTTCCGTATATACTATTCCCAAATGGAAGAAATTATGAAATTTTCCGGATAATTGAAATGAAAATTTGATTCGATCCATCTAAAACGTCACCGATCTTCTGGAAATAATACAGATGCATTATCTTTGTTGGTTTATTTTCACTATAACGACAAATTTGAGCATCTTCTAAGGAGAGTTATTCTACTTCTTCTTGTCCGACAACCGCTCGTCGTCCAACAGCCAGAATTTCTGACCCACGTCAAAAGATGTCCAATCACTGACAGCCTGTCAGGTCAGTACACGTTCCTACGACCGACATATCACTGCTATTTTCTATGTACATTCAGAGACCCGTTATTTTCACCACTAGTTATCTCCCACCTCCGATCGAGAGCTCCGCATACCAAATCAAACAAGTCTCATTGTGTTCTCATACTCCTTGCACTACCTCAAAGCACATATAGTAGATGCTGGTGCATAGTAGGAGAGATTCTTCCTATCTCAAGAAATCTTTAGCTTCATGCCCGACGGAAGAAGCTGTTTGTTGTCCGCTCCCGTCGAGAGCTGACATTACTGGGGTGGAGAAAGGAGTAAGTTGAACGGCGGCACGTTTTGTATTCGGCGGAAATCGGTAGATCACAAACCATAGCTTTCCGTAGCGGCTGACTGTTCCTACCCGTGGTGAAAAACAACTGGGTCATTTTCTTTTGCAACATATAGTTTTAAGGTTAGTAGCCGACAGAATACATGGATCGGAAAGCCATGATAAAATTATGCCTAGACCAATTTTCATTTCATAGAAAAATTGAGGCAATTATTGCAATGAAACGTCTACGTCCTCAATATGAGATGGCATAGCTTCCTATGGATGTGACTTAGGGATTATTCTAACAAAAATACAAAGGAATAAGCAGTATTTTTGTGATCATTTCGCCGTGCAGTCCAGGATTAAGAGCGTTAGGATTCAAAACGATGGCTCCCGTTTTCAGTAGCCTTCAGGGATACAAACACAACGCTCCACTGAAACGATAGACCAATGAGAAAATCGGCTGCCGAGTGCTGTTTGTCGCTGTCGCACAAAACCTGTTCAGCAAAAATGCATGATTTGTTTGTCTTCTTTCGACAGTTGTTTTGAAAGTAAATTTGCAAGTGTAAACCAAAAAGCACTTGAAAAGTATGCACAGATAAAAAAACGCCTAACCAGCATAAGATTAAACAATAAACAGAACTAACACAGAATCGAGTCTCCAGTTTTCCCGAGGATTTCACACCAATTCGGAAGGCGCATGGTGCGCATGATGATCTCGGATGCTCACAGACGTTTTATCAAGTACAAGGAGGTTACACAAGAAGAACAGGAGAACTGTCGAACTATATTGAACGAACCGCCGATGGAACCGCTTGAAGATGCAATAAGTCGACGCTTCAAAAATGTCAAAACGAAAAAGAAAACTGGCACTCTCAAGAAAGCCCCACAAGTTGGATGATCATGTGCTAATCAATGAAAATGAAAACTTGGTCTGAAATCTATCCAATCGCGTGATCACACAGGATGAGAAACGAGTCTTCAATAAAGGACTCAACTTCAACGTCAGAAATGCCATAAACAAGGAATACTTGGCGGAAATGGAACAAACTCTCAAGTCGTCCACTATACCTGAGGATGCGGAACAAACCATCCGACAAACAGTCGTCCTAGCCCTGATACGAAAAGGAAAACCCAATATGCTATCGAACAGCGAGGACGAAGCACTCAAAACACTGAAGATGGTTAGAAGTATCGTCATCCTACCAGCAGATAAAGGACGAATTACCGTGGTTACGGACAAAACTGACTACATCCAAGAGGCCAAACAACTACTCCAAGACACAGACACCTACCGCAGAATTGACACAAATCCCACCGCAAAACTGGAAAATAAAATCAATACCACATTGAAACAACTGGAGGAACTGCACCAAATAACCAAAGCGGAGCACTGGAGGATGAGAGCCAAAAACTCCGTTATCGCACAACTCTACGGACTGTCGAAGATACACAACGAAGGAATTCCCCTGAGGCCGATCGTCTCCCCTCCACGAACGGCCACATACAATTTGGCAAAAGAATTATGGAGCCGACTGAAGCCGCTCATCGCTAGACACGAGTATAGCGTCACGAACCAAAGACAGATCCTGGACAAGATCAAAACTGTCAACATCCAAGAAGACTAAATAATGGTCTCGTTCGACGTCACCGCTTTGTTCAATTCAATCGACTTGGACCTGGCAAGATCCACGTTGCGGGAACTGATGACTGAGCACCAACCAAATCCACCAACGGAATCAGCTGCCATTTGCGAACTCATGGAACTATGCATGCAGACGTACTTCAAATTCCAGGGTGAAATCTACGAACAGCTGAAAGGAACACCAATGGAATCGCCAATTTCTGGATTCATAGCCGAAGCCGTAATGCAGAAGCTGGAGAAGAAGGTACTACCAAGAATCATACCAAAACTTTGGCTTCGATACGTTAATGACACATTCGTCATCTTGAAGAAGTCGGAATGAGAACGAACGTACAACATTATCAATAACACATTCAACGGCATCAAGTTCACAATGGAGACCGAGAAGGATA